TATACTTACGATAAAATTGTGGAAATTCTTAATGAAATATTGCGTATATTAGATAATAGTAAAAAAATATTTACAGTGACTCTACCATGGATTTAACTAATTGATTGCTGGCCAACTAGATCGATTCTTATATGAGACCTAGTAGTTGAGTTGTAACACGGCTTTTCCCCTAAATAGGCCATGGCATATTGGCCAGTAGAATCATTTATCATAGCAATGACTTCGGGTGGCATTATTTCAAAAATGCGTCTCGGTAACCAACACTGGAAAAGCTCCTGTGAGTGCCGATCAATTAAATGAATAAGTAAACATTTACCATATCTGGTATCTTTGACCAATATCGTTTTAATAATATAAAGTTGACCTATAACCAATGACTTTAGTTCTCTTTGGTCCAATATTGTGGGCCAGTCTCCAAGTAATTTATTAACCGCATCAATTTGCGTTTGAGCCATAGTAGAATACAAATAAATATTTTTTTTACCTGTATAATACACAATACTACACAATACTACACTCAGTTATTATTTGAAACTTCTAAAGACTCTTAAAGCTTACGATTTTAAACTGATTCCATTTGGATATGAGGTCGCTATATATCCTCCCTAAAAATCCCCACCTCCACTATATTTTCCTTCTCAATATTCATAGTATGTAATATAGAATACAATAGTAATCACTAGGAGGTAAATAGTAATGACTATTTTAGCGGTACTTACAAGGTGTATAGAGTAATGAGATGTACTTACTATGCTCATTACACTACTCAATTACGTTCATTAAAGTATATAATTTAATGAATAATTGGGAGGCACTTGCTAATTGCGCGAAGGGTGGGATACTACCCCTTCCAACAATATTTACATCGCGCGTGTCTGCCGAAGACCGGTGATTCACTTTAGCTATGGCGGTTGAGAGTCAAGGGTGTGCATGGCGCCGACTTATTTCCCCTATGCTACAACAGTAAACAAGAGAAGTACTTAGACTTATTACACTACGTGATATACACAGTAAATACTGTCTGAGAGGTATGCATATGGTGTAATGAGAGGTACTTACTATGCTCATTACGCTATGTAATTACACTCAGTACAGAATAATTGGTTGGTCCTTACATCACTATGTGTACTGAGAGGTACTTACTATACTCATTACACTATGCAATTACACTCATTACACTATGCAATAACATGGTGTACAGAGTAATTCAGAGGTACTTGCTAATTGCGCGAAGGGTGGGGGGTACTTGCTAATTGCGCGAAGGGTGGGGGGTACTTGCTAATTGCTCGAAGGGTGGGGGGTACTTGCTCGAAGGGTGGGGGGTACTTGCTCGAAGGGTGGGGGGTGGGTACTTAGGGTAATTACTAATTACACCAATTGCCTCTGACCTTGCCTCTGACCTTGGTCCAGAACTGGCTAATCCCATCTACTTCTAAACCATCAATGACTCATCGGCCAGTACCTTGGTGGAACGATGGCATTAGAATTGCAATTTCTGAACGGAAGAAATCTTTAAGGAAATTAAAACGTTTTCCTTCAATGGAAAATCTTATCCTCTTCAAAAAAGCAAGAGCCCATGCAAGAAGAAAAATCTTAACGGCAAAAAAAGCTTCATGGGAAGAATATGTGTCTTCAATAACTCCAGATGTTGGTCTTAACGAAATTTGGAAAAAAGTTAAAGTAATAGCAGGAAGAAACAACTATAACAGCTTGGAATCTTTAACATACGAGGGCAATGTATTAAACGATCAGCAACAAATATGTGAAGCGTTTGCCAACCACTTCGAACAAACAAGCAGTTCCAGTAACTATGACCACCAGTTTCAGAACATTAAGCATATAGAAGAACAAAATTCTCCCAACTTCAATTGCTTTTCAACCCTTAATTATAATCTACCTTTCTCACTTACCGAACTGAATAACGTGATACAGAACTGTAAAGAATCAGCACCAGGACATGATGGGATTTTATACAGTATGATAAGACATTTACCGATAGCTGAAAGGATAAAACTACTAGCGTTTTATAATTCCATCTGGAACTCGGGAATTTACCCCAAAAACTGGAAAATATCTATAATTATTCCAATCCTAAAAAACTCAAAACCTTGCTCAGATCCCAATAACTATCGCCCTATATCATTGACTAGCTGTCTAAGCAAAGTAATAGAGAAGATGATTAATGTAAGACTCTCGTGGTGGCTGGAAACAAACAGCTTCCTATCCAATAAACAAACTGGTTGTAGACCTAACCACTCGACTATTGACGCTCTAGTTAACTTCGAAAATGAAATTCAGGATGCCTTTTCAAAGAGAGAACATTTGGTTGCAGTAAGTTTTGACCTTGAAAAAGCTTACGACAGAACCTGGCGATTTTCAATTATTAAGCAACTAAACAAGTGGGAAATGAGAGGTAATCTCCCAAAAATACTACAAAACTTTTTACAAGATAGATATTTCTCCACCAGAATAGGCAACACCGAGTCAACCAGAAGATTCCTGGAAAATGGAATACCTCAGGGGTCCGTTTTAAGTGTGTCACTATTCGCGATCGCCATTAATTTCCTACTTAAACAATCCCAATCGGAAGCGAAAAGAGTAATTTACGTAGATGATCTAGTAGTTTTTTATAGACATAAATCCATCGATATTATTTCGGAAGTGATTAATAAGGAAATTAAAAGTATAGTTCAATCTACAAGAAAAAGGGGATTTATTTTTTCCAAGGAAAAGACAAAAGCTATTCACTTCTGCAGACTGAGACTCCCTCACCCAGAACCTGAACTCAGAATAGAACAACATTTTATCAGCCTTGATGCCCAACTTAAAATTCTTGGAGTTATTTTCGATAAAAAACTATATTGGACTGCTCAAATTAACCAGATTGTTACACAATGCAAAAAAGCCCTAAACCTCATTAAGTGTATGGCAAACATTAGATGGGGAGCAGACAGAGAGATTTTATTGAACCTTTACATTTCCCTTATTCAGAGCCGATTTGATTACGCAGCGACAGTATATAATTCATGTAGGCCAACTACTTTAAACGAGCTGGACAAAATACAGCTACAGGCATTAAGATATGCAACGGGGGCATTTAGAACTAGCCCACGTGCAGCAGTACAATGCGAAGCGGCAATTCATCCATTAGATTTAAGAAGAGAAGAGAGAACTATGATATACTCGTCTAAAATTCTATCCCTTCCCCATCACCTTAATCATAACCTTTTCACCTCTGAGAATAACTATATAGACATCCCGACAAGAACCAGACCTACAAGAATTCGGAACAGTGAAACCTGTCTAAAATATAACATCGACCAGTCAGCAATTCTATCTAAACAATGGTCACCAACCCCCCCGTGGAGTCTTCCAATCCCAAAATCAAATCTGGAACTCACTACATGGAAAAAAGAGAACACATCGGACGCAACATATAGATTACTTTTTATGGAACAACTCAATTATTTTGAAAATCATCTCATAATTTATACAGATGGATCAAAATTAATCTCAGGTGTTGGTGCGGCAATAGTAATAAACAACAAAGACTACAGATGGTCTCTCCACCCGTACAGTTCAATATTTACCGCGGAACTATTTGCCATATGGCAGGCTCTCTTATTCTTTTCTTTCTCGTCCTCTCAAAAATGCCTCGTATGTTCTGATTCATTAAGCTCAATCATGGCAATTGCAGACCCTTTTACAAAAAATGGTTACTGTCAGAGAATTCTTGAACTTTATAATCAGCTTATTGTAACCGGAAAAACATGCACTTTTATGTGGATCCCAAGTCATACCAAAATTAAAGGCAATGAGCTAGCAGATGATGCAGCCAAAAAAGCAGCGCAATCCCCAACCGACCAAGGCATCCCCGTTCCCTTTGAAGACATGAAATGTTCAATACAACTAAGGATTAAATTGGAATGGCAAAACCGCTGGAGGATATATGAAGGACAACTAATATACATCAAGCCCAATGTGAACAAATTAACTTACCCTAAGCATTTAAATAGACGAGAGCAAGTTATCTATTGTCGACTTAAAATTGGACACACTAATCTGACTCACTCATACATTTTATCGGGTCACGCAAGACCAAGATGTAATCACTGCAATCGATATTTGACAATCGAACACATCCTAACATGTGCCATGCACACTCAAATCAGAAACCAAATCGACATTCAGCCAGAAATTGAAATATTAAAACAAGACGTAAATTTAAAGAAAATACTTACCTTTCTAAAAGAAATCAATTTATACTATAATCTGTAAACCATTAACCTTGCGAAACTACTAATACCGTATAAAACATAACATATAATAACTTACCAGACACGCAGCCAATGATCACAGCAATCGAAGCTGCAAAAAAAAAAAAAAAAAAAAAAAAAAAATAATAATAATAATAATAATAATAATAATAATAATAATAATAATAATAATAATAATAATAATAATAATAATAATAATAATAATAATAATAATAATAATAATAATAATAATAATAATAATAATAATAATAATAATAATAATAATAATAATAATAATAATAATAATAATAATAATAATAATAATAATAATAATAATAATAATAATAATAATAATAATAATAATAATAATAATAATAATAATAATAATAATAATAATAATAATAATAATAATAATAATAATAATAATAATAATAATAATAATAATAATAATAATAATAATAATAATAATAATAATAATAATAATAATAATAATAATAATAATAATAATAATAATAATAATAATAATAATAATAATAATAATAATAATAATAATAATAATAATAATAATAATAATAATAAATGTTTCTATACAACAAAAGCAAAAATACAAATTTATTTTTAAAGGGGATAAATGTAAATAAACAATAGTGTTCCCGTAAAAATCAATGATTGTTCAATAATATTAATAATTGCATAATATACTCGTTGGCATATATAAATATCGAACTTTTAATCTATTTTCTTTTTTTAGAAAGATCATGGCAAAGTCTATAAAAATACAGTTGAAGAAAAAGACCGGTTTTTAGTATTTCAAGCTAATTTACGCAAAATCGAAGAACATAATGAAAAATTCGAGAAAGGATTGACTACTTATACAATGGGGATGAACCAGTTTGGAGATTTAACCGCCGAAGAGTTTGCTGACCTACTGCAGCCGTTCCCAAAGATGGATAGACCTAAACCTTCACTAAAAACTAAAAATGTTCAATACAATGGACATATTCCAGGTAGAAAGGACTGGAGAGAGAAGGGAGCGGTAACTCAAGTAAAGACTCAAGGCAAGTGTGGAGGCAGTTGGGCATTCGGCGCCGTAAGTAATTTGCCTGGTTTTTACCAGTCGGTTCAAGTTTTTATCTGTACGCTAAAAAAAGAAATGAAAAATTTTAAAATATAAACCACCAGAAGGACTATTTTAAATAAGTTTTCAACGAATATTACATGACTATAGTCTAGAGAAGAAAGGAGTGCAGTAATTTAATTTTCAGAAACTAGTACAGATTCATGATATATCTTTTATTTATACCTCATCCTTCAATGCTTAATTCTAGTATCAGGAAATTAATCTTATTATCCTGCACCTTTTATATCTCCTCTATTCTACTGATGATTTTCTCCCTAATATACCTTTCAGTTTGTCCTAACCTCCTATCGATATTTATCTTCGATATATAAGTATATTTGCTGCTGCAGTTCTAACTTAGTTCTCTCCAACCACCTATCAATATTATGTTCCTTGCTATTGTCTTCATCTCTTAATTTTTGTATTTCCTTACTCAGATTATTTCCTTTTTTTTACTTTCCTTCATCATCTTTTCTATCATTTTCATTAATGTACTTTTCATCTATTTCTACGATTTGTTCCTTTACGTGATCATTATCGTTTTATGATCATCCCGTACTTCCTGAAACGTCCTCTTCTTCATTTTTTTGCAATTCTATCAAACTTTGACAATCAACGTCACGATCTTTTTTTTTCTATAAAAATTCACACAACTTACTCAGTCAAAAGATTTGTTACCATTAGGGCTGGGAAAATATGCACTTAAAAATGGTCTAAATATATATATGCATTTATTCGTTAACAATAGACAAAAACTCAACTTTAACAACAATTATACAACTGATAACATTAAGATGTAACGTCTATCATAAAACTGAAAACTGACGTCAGAATCATCCTCATATAGCTTGCTTGACCCTTCTCGAACCTTCTCAAACTGTCGTCTAGAATATTCTTGACGGGTAATGACATTTCCAGACATTTCTGGTCTATTCTATCTTCTTTTACTTGTACTTATGACGACCGCAGCCACATACTTTGATTACTATACGAGGCAAGAGAGAGGTCCGACACGCCCAACATAGGGCGCGGCCATTTTGAACCCTGTGACACAGTTTACAGCTAAAGAATCAGATCGCTCACTCTGCGTCGGCACTTTGGATCTCAATGTTTCAGTTTATACACTGTGCAACTCGGATAATACAATATATGACAACCGCCTATAATAAAACAGCAGTCTTCTGCGTATCCTGAATTTGTATTCCTGGAGTGGATGTTATTTTGGAACTTTCAACTGGTCCGAGTGAGCTAACTGATTCTTTAGCAATAAACTGTGACTTCAAAATAATATTCACTGACACTGACAGCAGCAAGCACATACTTTGATTTTCTTTTACTATACGGAGAATGGTCGCACTGCGCAGCTTTCTGAGTGCCTTTTAAAAGAAGATAGAAAACTCCGCCATTTTGAACCCTTATTACATGTTGCCTACATCTTGGCGCAATATTTTTAATAGGTGCGTTTTAATCATCCGCTTCTGATTCGGAATTGTCGGTTTTCTTGTTTTAATCTGACAGGTTAGAACGACTGAACCGACAATTCCGGAAGCAGAAGCGGATGATTAAAACGCACCTGATATTTTGCTTGCTGCTGTCAGTGTCAGTGAATATTATTTTTGGAGTCACAGTTTATTGCTAAAGAATCAGTTAGCTCACTCGGACCAGTTGAAAGTTCCAAAATAACATCCACTCCAGGAATACAAATTCAGGATACGCAGACGACTGCTGTTTTATTATAGGCGGTTGTCATATATTGTATTATCTGAGTTGCGCAGTGTATAAACTGGAACACTGATATAAAAAGTGCCGACGCACAGTGAGCGATCTGATTCTTTAGCTATAAACTGTGTCATAGGGTTTAAAATGGCCGCGCCCTATGTTGGGCGTGTCGGACCTCTCTCTTGCCCCGTATAGTAATCAAAGTATGTGGCAGCAAGCAAAATATCAGGTGCGTTTTAATCATCCGCTTCTGCTTCCGGAATTGTCGGTTTAGTCGTTTTAACCTGTCAGATTAAAACAAGAAAACCGACAATTCCGAAGCAGAAGCGGATGATTAGAACGCACCTATTAAAAATATTGCGCCAAGCTGTAGGCAACACGTAATAAGGGTTCAAAATGGCGGAGTTTTTTATCTCATTTTAAAAGGCACTCAGAAAGCTGCGCAGTGCGACCATTCTCCGTATAGTAAAAGAAAATCAAAGTATGTGACCGCAGCACACTGTAGGGCGATGAGTAACATTCCACTTCTTTTTCTATCTGTACGTTTCCTATAATAGCGCGACAATACCTTGTGTGGTATATAATAATAAGTTCTAAGTGTAAAGGTTAAAGAAAAAGTCCTTTATTTCTCACAAAGTCAATTTATTGGCGACCGGTTTCGAAGTTGTCACTTCATCATCAGGCACACCTTGACTAATTCCATAAAGGAAGTGACAACTTCGAAACCGGTCGCCAATAAATTGACTTTGTGAGAAATAAAGGACTTTTTCTTTAACCTTTACACTTAATCCCTACTACTCACATATGGCTACCCTCACTCCAAATAATAAGTTCTATTTTGAAAGACTTATAATCTTAATTAAAAAATGTGCTTCTTTTAAATTATGGCAATTAAATATTCGTTTTCTTTTTTCAGGCTGCCGCAATAGAAAGTGCACATTTCATTAAATCTGGAGAACTCGTTACCATGAGTGAACAAGTCCTCCTTGATTGTGTTGAAGAATGTAAAGGATGTAAAAGTGGTTGGACGGATAAAGCCATGGAGTACGTTCGAAAACATGGCATAACGACAGAAATGAATTACCCTTATGAGGGAAAAGATGATGATTGCAAAATAAATGGAACGGAAACTGGAATGAAAATCAAAAATTATGTTTTTATAAAAGAGGACGACGAAGAAGATTTAAGGCAAGCTGTTGCTAGACAACCAGTAGCTGTAACTGTAGACTCAAGAGGTTTTCAATTATATAAATCAGGTATAATTCATTTAAAAATAATTGTTACTGTAAACTTGGACATTGTTCACAAAATATCTAAATACTCTGACTTGATCTGTTTTGAACATTATTTTGCCTACGTGCTTTCAAAATAAAGAAAGAAAGAACGCTGGCCATATCTACGGAACAATTTATCCATATGTTATTTTTCTAACAAAAATCTTTCTTAGAAATAGTTGGAAATTATTTTCAAGTTTCCAACTTCACCGTTAGAGGTCGTAATTCTCATTATCAATGATAAAAACTAAAAAATGTCAAATTATATTATGTCGACAACGACTACCGACGTCCTGTCTAATTTCAATAACCGGTACTTATATTTTCCTTTAAGACTGATGCGTCCATGGATGTTTTCAATACAGCCAGATACAGCTAGCGGTTGATAACGAGCTAGCCGCCACGTTTCGGCAAAATAATCGGTTTTCTTACTCAAATTTAGAGATATGACAAGATATGACGAGGGAAACGCTATCAGAAGCTTTTGCACAATTTCCCACAATCCAGGATATTTTTCGGGTATTTCTGCCTGCAGCCAAAATTTTTGATACCCTCTTTTAAATGTCACTTTCAGCTCCTCATTAGTGCTAAGCTCGAGTATCTCCTCTTGTAATATCACATCCTCCACTTCCGTTTTATCAAATGGATTTTTGATCCATGGCGGTATTTCCACCGACAGAATATCTTCAAATCTGAATTTAAAACAATCATGCAGGGCAATCAAATGTTGAACGTATGTCTGAATATCTTCATCAAGGTATTCTACCTGCGACAAGTTTGAAAACTGTGAAAATTCGCGCCGACCAATATTTTCCTTCATAAATTTTAATTTACCAAGAAAAGCTGAAATTATACTCTTTGGTTTTGTTAAATTGAGGCTGTCCTCTTGTAATTGTAAGTTGAGTTCATTAAATTTTGTGGACAAATCTGTCAAATAAGCGATGTCCGTTTTAAAATTGGTCAAGTTTTTTTTTTAAATCAGGATCTTTATTTTTTCCAAAAACTCTAAAACTGAGTCAAAAAGTATATAAAATCTTAATAAACATGCACCTTTTGACAACCAAATCAAACACGTTCATGCAAGATTGCAAGCACATCCACCACAAGTCGTATTAATTTGCTCGTCTGAACAAACGTTGCGAACGGGACGACGGCCGGCGCGGCAACGACAAGTCTCGGCGCGTTATACTGAATATTGAATATGCAAGTTTTTACAAGTAACAGTAACTAAAATGTTGACCGTTTATATTATAAACAGTTGAAGTTTTTTACAAGAATTTCTTCATCACATGGAAAAATGAGTAATCAATTGTTTAATAGTATATTGCTTCACTATCGAATCCAAATTAATTTTCATGCACCTCCGCATACGATTGTGGACCTCTATTTATTATTACGCCCAACGTAGACCCTCGTCGAGTCTTTTGTGGACCTCTGGGGGTCCACCTAGATCGATTTGAGAAACACTAATGTAGTGTTATTAAAAATACAAATATTTTTATATCATTTAAATTACACCATTAAAAAAATGGATTTATTCTCACCAAAACTGACTACCTCGAGTCTGACATATGACACAAAAATGTAATGCAAAAGTGCGGACACTTTTAATATCGTCATTGCATCTCCTCTCTATTTTATATCAATTGAAAAGGTTCGTATGCCATGCCCTACTTTGTGACGTCAACCTTTGATTCTGTAGGATGAACAAAATAACGCGATTTAAGTGGTTTTAAGCAGGCACTTTGTTTTATGGATTTGTTAACGCCTTGACTTCTCTTTTTAGCTACAGGCTTTCGCGAAAACCTCTCGCTTCCTCGCGCTCACTGAGAATAGTGCACCACAGAGACGCGATTGGAGAGCGTCCAAAACATAGAGATTGACTCGTATGAAAAGAATAACATTAAAATTGAATTTATATTTTTGTTTTTTTTTTCTTTTAAATAATGTGTTTTTATGAAATAATGTAAATGGGTTCTAAAGTTTGTAATTGGACCACTACCATCCAAGTTTATGGTATTTTACTTATTATGAGTTATGTTTTCTCTATTAATTATATGGAATATATGTTTTTTTTTAGGAATATTTGATAATTCGTGCATAGAGGATGTGAATATAGACCACTCTTTATTGGTTGTTGGATACGATCTTGACCATCATTTTGAAATGGATTATTGGATTTTAAAAAATTCTTGGGGTAAAAGTTGGGGTATGGATGGTTACATGAAATTCAAAAGAAATCATAATGTTTGTGGTATTGCTTCATATGCTGTATATCCAGTTTTGTAAATATGGCAATTTTAGTTTAAATAGATGTTATAGATATAAAAGGTGTAGAATTTGTTTATTTTATTTTTTGCTTTAATCTGTGTAATAAATTAATTTTATTAGCCATTTTCCATTAAATATGTTAAATTTATTTAAGTTTTATTTTTTATCATTATCTTATATTTTCACTCATATAACCTTTTAAATTTAATTAATTCAACACTTACCTCGAGGCAATTCAAGAGTCAAAGTAAAACAAATGAAGTTTATTTAATTTTATATTTTTTATACAACTATAAATTTTATATGCTATTTTTCATGGAGCCCCACGATTTTAACAAGTAGATTCTCAAATTTGTTTCCTAAAATGAAAGAAAATATTAATTCGAATATCTTCAATCATTCTGAACAAATAGATATTAAAAGAGGTTGAGTGGTGTGTACACACTGGGTAATAAGAAATGAATCGAGAGAAAAATTATTAAAAATTAAATATTAAAAAGGTACCAAGATGAAAACAACAGATTTGAGCAGGACGGCCCCAGCGAAACCGAAGTTGCAGACAGACCAGCTTTTCCAGTTAAAAGAGGAGGAAAAACCGTTCTGGCCACGAAATCAGCAATCGCTGGAAAAGACAAAGTCACTTCCGCTGCAAGAAGATTCAAGGCGAAGCTGACTAGGTAACTTCAGACGAACCGTTGCCAATACTCACTTTGTTATTGAGATGGATTTAAGTGTTAACACATGTAACATTTGATTTGGTAAACTCTCTGTGTATCTCAAGGTCTTCGAGCAGATTTAGTTTAAGGTTGCAATTAAAAATATTATGAAGAACAGTAACATTCTCAGAAGGAGTGAAGTTGTTGAATTTAATAGGATGAATTTAATATGATGTCCAAAAGTAGACTTATCTGGATATCTGATGTGTTCACCAGCTCGTATGTTGAGTCTCATCTCAGTTTTTCCTATATAAGACGCATTACAATCGTTACAGCTTAATCTATAGTTACCACTTTTGTGTAGCAATTCGATTTCATCCTTAGTATCGAATTAACATTTTTAAAAGAAATTTTAATATTGTTGCAATCCTTAAAAACAGCAGCATCATCATTGGAAATTTTCCCGAGATTTGGTAGTGAAAAGTATTTAAAATTAGCAGGAGGTTCGTTAGTAGGATTAAAAGCAAGTTGGGACCTTTTCTTGAGTTTGACTTTATTGATAACCACGTTAATAATGGAAGGATTGTAGTTGTTATTAAAAGCTAATTGTTTTAAAACGTTGATTTTTTTATTAAAATTATGATTAGATAAAGGTATATTGAGAAGACGATGAACATAACAATATATGGCTGATAACTTGTGTTGATAAGAGTGATTAGAGTGGAAATTAATTAGATAGTTAGTTTGAGTAGGTTTCCTGTAGATGTCAAATTCAAGTTTTTTATCCCGACGACTGATAGGAAGGTCTGGGAAATTAAGTGATTTATTGACTTCAAGCTCAACTGTGAATTTGATTTTAGGATGGATATTGTTAATGAAAAATAAGAAGTCGTCAATCTCAGTAAAATAACAATTCATAATTGCAAAAATATCATCAATATATCTGTACCAGTGTGAAATTCGGTTGTTAGGGAAATCATTCAAATTTTTTTTGGTTTCTAAGTGATCTAGAAATAAGTTTGCTAACAAGGACTTAGAGGATTACCCATTGCTATGCCATTGGGTTGTCTGTAGAATGTTCTATTAAAAATAAAGAAATCTTGATCAAGACAGATTTTGAGTAAATCCAAGATAATATTGATAGAATGAAGGTTGAAGTTATTTTTAGTAAGAAGGTCTTTGATAATAGGAAAGGTTTCCTCTCTAGGAACATTAGTGAATAAATTGCTAACATCAAAAGAAACTAATTTAGCTTCAGAACTTAGATTTATGTTTTTAATTTTGTTAACTAAATCAATTGAATTTAAAACAGTATATTTGGGTTTATAATTAAGAGAAGTTATTGAAAAATTTTGCAAAGGAAGATACAGGAGAGTTAAAGAAAGTGACTACAGATCTCATTGGAATCTCTAATTTATGTATTTTAGGAAGGCAATACAAACGAGGCAAATAATGCATTTTTAAAATGAAATTGTTAACAAATAGAATGTCCCTTTCAGTGAAAAAGTCTTTATATTTGGTGAGAGTAGATTTAAAAAAGTTAATGTACTTCTGCAGAGGGTTGGACTTCAAGGTTATAAAATCGTTATTGTTAAGAAATTCTTCAACTTTAAGTATGAAGTTCTCTTTTTTCATGATAACCAAGCAATTTCCTTTGTCAGCCTTAGAGATAATAAGGATATTGTTAAGTAATTTGTCTTTATTGGATTTTAATAAACTAATATGTTGTTTAATAAGTGTGTTTTTATGGGGTTCAATAGTGTTAAGGGATAAGTATCTATTGAAAATGGAGATACAGTGTGATTTCAAAAGATTCGTAAGATCAATGTCATTAGAAAAGTGGTTAATAATAAAATCTACATCAATAGACAGTTCTTCAATATCTTTTTTGTGAATCTTAGGTTTAACTGCACATTTTAAACCTAAGAAGAAAACCTCAATTTCATTATCATTAAAACTAATGTTAGACAAAGTATCCCGCCCTTTTCCAATGGCAAAGTGGCGTTCCGTCAAATGTAATAAATTTTGAATATGATGTTGTACTCGACTTGTTGACCAAAAGTGTTGATGGGACCAATTCAATCCTATGACAAGGTTTTAAAATACAGGGTGTTAAAGTCGCAAAATCGTATTTCTTGAAACTACGTAAATTAATTAAAAATAAAGAAATAAGCATTTTTAGTTCGGTGGTGTCACGTTTAACGCTTTTAAAATCCTTGCATTTATTTGCAGGAATAAGGTGTTTGCCATAGTTTATCCTAGTATTTGCAAAGTTGTTATTCAGCAAGCGTATGTATGTAAAAACGATAGGTACAAAAATGCCCTGCCTTATGGTGTAAAAATAGGTGCTGCTAAAATATCAAGTCTGCTGAAAGCAGTTAAACTAGATTAATGTACTTTCATTTTGTTTTAAAACGCCAGGAAGATACTGGAAAAAAATTTCTGAGATCATTCGAGACATCTCAAGATCCCATTTAAAACAAAAATGGGATAAAAAACTATTAAAAGATAAAAAAATATGAATGAATTACTATAAAGTGGTCCAAAATAGTGGGAAAACGCAACTTTGACCCCTTTTTCAATGTTCTTGACAGGAAATAACGGACTTCAAGGTACATGGATCGATACCTATGGGTTTTCCCATTGTAATATACTTTGAATCATCGAAAAATATCAATTTTTGACCGAGTTCTGAAACAATTTGTCCACCTGTTCACAAGCTAATCAGCAATGCTATAGAGATAAAGCAGGGGCTGAACGAGGGGACTTTTGATTGCGGTTATCTGGAAACCTGTCGAATTCCCGACAAAAATGAAAGGGGCCATTTTTGTAGATAATGATAAGATCTTTCTTTTTTATCTAAACAAAAATTCTCTAATTTGCATAGTGTGGAAGATATTGGCGGGAAACCAGTTTTAGGGTCCATTTTGGGCCCTTTCCGACGCAGCAGAGTTGGTAAAAGTTTTCGCCCTTGAAAGCAACCGTCAAGACCTAAGAATTGAGCCACAAAGGAAATCTGGACCGACTTAACGACAGCTTTGCATATTTTCAGGTCTTCAGTTACTGGACTATAAAAAGAAGTAGATCAAACATTAGAAAATGGCCAGGAAAGAAGATGTATAAGAAAAAATGAATAACTATATTTATTTAACGAAAGATGAAGCAGCCATTACTAAAAATTACTTACATACCTACAAAAATATTATACAGCTATTTCATTATCATAGAAAGCATCATAAAAAGCCCGTATTTAATCAAATATTTGAGATTTGTCATTGATGAAAAACAACAAATTTTAAACTAGGTATGTTACAAAAACTGAAATCTGAAATATTTTTAGTAATCTGCATTTCTCATTCATTTATGAAATTCTTTTAGCTGTCCCCACTTAATTACATGACTTGATCAAACCAAATTTGAAGAAACGAGATTAATCTATTCAGTTTTGGGTTACGGTTCAGAACGCAAGTTTATAATGACATCGATAATTAGTAAATTGTTTTTAATTTTTGTTTTGCTGATTATTTTGCTGAAATGGTCGGAGAGCGTAAATTTAAATTCTTTTGAAACGAGATATATCGAAGTACCAATAGATCACTTCGCGGCAACGCCAACATCTAGAACTTTTAAATTAAGATATCTGATTAACTCAAAGAACGATGCAAACTATATTGAGGGGGGTCCGATTTTTCTTTATACAGGAGGTGAACGGGAAATCACCATTGCGGCTCAAAATACGGGTTTCTTGTTTGAAATTGCACCCTTATTTAAAGCTTTGTTAATTTTCGTTGAACACCGATACTATGGGACATCACTGCCATTTGGTGAGTACAAATAAATATAAATATTAAAAGTTAACATTTTCATTATCATCATTATAGTGCAGCGTCTGGTGGTTTTGACCTCAAACTCTTGCTGCAATGAATAAATTTATAAGGTCGAAGCGGAATTATGTTTTTTATACTGCAAATTGCAAAGTTTACAAAATGTTTTTTGTGCGTTTGAATTTTT